CCACACGCTGCTGTGCTGCCGCTGCTGCTGCTGCTGCCGCCGCTGCTGCCATTGCCACTCCACCCCCCTCCTCCTGTCCACTCCCCCAATCCTCCTCCCCAACAGCATCCCCTGCATCAGACTCTTTTCTCACTCCTCTTCCTACTCTATCCTCCCCCCACTCCCCACGACCCCTTAACACTTCTCCCCCCTCCCCAACGCTCCCATCACCACCCAATCCATCCAACCCCCGAAACCCTTCTCCCTCCCCCTCGTCATCCTCCCCCTCATCCCCCCTCCAGGCAGACCAGCTCTGCTGGGGGGAAGCGCGCATGGGGGGAGAAAGCCCCATCATGGGGGAAACCTGCGCCATTACCAGGCTCCCCTCCCCCTCCCCTTCCCCTTCCCCTGCTCCTCCTTCCCCCTCCGAATCCCACTCCCCTCCCTCCGCCCCCTGCCAAGGCTCCTCTTGCAACCCCCCCTCCCCCATGCCCCCTTCCCTTCCCCCCTCCCCCTCTCCTCCACCCTCCCAATCTCCTACACCCTGCGCTGCCCTGCTCTGCGCTTCCTTACTCTCTTCCACCCATCTAGCAACTCGTGCCATTGCAGCACTCATGGCCTTCTTGTCTCTTGCTCTCCCTGCTTCCACAACTCTCTTCAGCCCTGCCTGTCCCCCCTGCCCCTCCTCTGCGTCCCCTTCCACGAACCCTGCACCCTCCCCATCTTCTCCCGCGTCCTCCAATGCCCCGTCCTCCGTTCCTTCCCCCCGGCCTTTTTGCTCTTCTTCTTCTTCTCGTGCTCCTTCTTTTCTTCTTCTTAGTCTTCTTCTTTTCTCGCCATCCTGTCCGTCTCCCTCCTCCCCTGCTCCGTCCTTCTCCTTCTTCTTCTTCCCTTTGCTTTTGCTCTTCCCTCGCTTCTCCTCCTCCTTCCCATTGTTGTCTTCCCCTTCCTCCTCTCCTCCCTCCTTGCTCTTCTTCTTTTTCTTCTTCTTTTTCTTCTTTTTCGAGTCATCCCCACCTGCTGCATCTCCATCTACCCCTTCCTTCTCCCCTTTACTGCTCTTCTTTGATTTCTTAGACTTCTTGACTTTTTTGTCTGTCTTCTCCCCCTCAGCCCCCTCCTCCTCTCCCTCCTTACTCTTCTTCTTTTTCCGTTTCTTCTTCTTTTCCTTCCCGTCTTCTCCCTCCCCAGCCTCTTTCTCCTGCTCCTTCTTCTTGCTCTTTTTCTTCTTATTTTCCCCTTCCACTTCTCCTTTTTTCGAAGTGCTCTTGGAACTTTTCCTATCCTTCTCCTCCCCTCGAGACTTGTGCTTACTCGATCCACTCTTCTTCCCACTCTTTCCCCCCTCTCCTTTCTTCTTACCCACAGCACTTGCTTCAATAACCAAGACCTCAGACCCCGCTCCTTCTTCCACTCCTTTACCCATCCCCTCACCTGTCCCTTCAACCATTTTATTGCCTACCCTTCCATCCATCCGCCCATCCATCATCCTCTCATCCATCCTTTCATCCATCCTCATCCCTCCCTCCACATCCATCCACTCTCTCCCAACTCCCTCCCTCCCTTCCACACCCCCCTCCCTCTGCCCCACACCACCACCCAAACCTTCTCCACCACTCCACCTCTCCCCAGCAGCCACACCAGCCAACCCAATCCCACTCACCCTCCCCACACCCTCCCCAACCAGCCCACCCATCTCCTCATTCCCCGCATCAGAAGTAAACGCATCCTCTCCCTCTCCTGTCCCTCTCAGCAACACCACCTGCTGCCCAAACACCAGCACTCCCGGCTGGCCCTTCGCTCTCTGCTCCTCCTCCTCCTGCCGCCACTCCATCGCTGAAGCATCACTCTCATGCCCACTTAAAGCCGACAGCGTCGACTGTCTTCGCCGCTCCCTCCTCTCCCGCCGCTCCTTCCGCTCCCGCTTCTGCTCCCTCTCCTCCTCCTCCTCTCCGCCTCATCTTCAGTAGACTCCTCAACAGCAACGGCAGCAGAAGTACCAGCAGAAAAACCGGCAGCATTGGCACCAGCAGCACCAGCAGCGGCAGCAGCAGCAGTGACTGGAAACGCGTCCATCACCCCGCTCTCACTCTCGCTCTCTTCTGATGTAGACTGGGGTTTCCACGGCACCTGACTGTCTAGAAACTTCTCCTGAGGCACCTGTTGCTGCTGCTGCTGCTGCAAGGACACATCACCATCACCACCACTCCCGTACGCCCCATCCGCGTTATAAGCACCTCCTGCCGCCGCCGCCGCTGCTCCTGCTGCTGCTGCTGCTTCGCTATGCCCTGTAGCCGTAGCTCGAACCATCATCAATCCCTCCCGAGTGACCATGTGCCCTTCTGGACCTCCTCTTCCTCCTCTTCCTCCTCCTCCTCCTCCTCCTCCTCTTCTTCTTCCTCTTCTTCCTCCTCATCATCAGACCATAGCTTGCCTTCCATCCTTTCCTTTACCCCCCTCATCCCGTCTCCTTCCTCTCCTTCTCCCTCTAACTCCCCCTCTCCCTCGTCCACTCCCTCCTCCCCAATCCTCTCCAGTTGCTCGTCCAACATCTCGCTCCCTTCACCCCCATCACTCCCACTTCCAACCTCCATGCCCCCATAGTGCCCTCTCATCCCCCTCCCTTCTTCACCCCCCTCTCCGTCCCACCCTCCAACCCCATCCAACCCCTCTCCATACTCCTCCATTCCGTACCTCTGCTGTTCCTCTCTCCCCTCACTCCCCTCACTCCCCTCACTCCCTTCACTCCCTCAATTCCCCTACCTTCCTCACTCGCCTCATCCCCCTCACTCTGCTCCTGCTCCTCACTCCCCTCTTCTATAGCTTCACCCTCATTCCATAGCAACTGCCGGGATCCCTCCTGCTCCCTTAACCCTCCCTCCTTTCCCTCCTCTTCCTCCTCTGCTACCTCCCACAATCTACCCTCCTCCTCTGCCTCATCCTCTTTCTCCTCCTCTTCTTCCTCCTCCTCCGCTTCTTCCCACAACCTACCCTCCTGCAATGCCTCCTCTTTCTCTTCCTCCTCCTCCTCCTCCGCTTCCTCCCACAGTCTTCCCTGCTCCTCATCCCTTCCCTCTACCTCCCCATCTACCACTTTCCTCGACCCTGCTCCACCCACGCCATCCCCAGCAACACCAGCACCTCGAATGCCAAGCCGTGACCCCACAGCTTGCACCGAAACACCCTGAAACGGCCTCCATCCTTCCTTCCACACCCCATCTTGCCCTGCTCCTCCCCCTCCCCCTCCCTCTCCCTCCACCCCGTTTCTCCTTCCCACACTGAAATCCCTGTTGCTGAAACTCCGAAGCGCCGTGCCTTGCGCATTTCCACCTTGGTAATCCCTGTTGCTATAACTCCGCATGGCTTTACCATACTCTACCCCCCCTCCCTGGTAATCCCTATTGCTGTAACTCCTCACTGCCTTACCCTGCTCAACCCCCGCGTTATAATCCCTGTTGCTAAGACTCCGCACTGCCTTACCCTGCGCCATCACCCCATTCCCCATCCTTCCCATGCCGCCAGCACCTCCCACTCCCCCCAAGGCTCGCGGCATGGAGTGGGGATCATCAGCATGCCATGAGGTCACGCGGGCATAGGGGGAGAAGGACTGGAGGCGGGAAGCAAGACCTGATGGGAGCGAGGGTGGCAATGGAGCCATGTTGTTGACATGGGAGGAGTTGGCGGGATGGGAGGGTGGAGGGAAAGAGTTGCCATAACGTTTCTCCTCCTCCTCTTCATCCTGCTCCTGCTCCGCCTGCCGCTCGTCCCCATCCTCCTCCTCTTCCTCCTCCGTCTCCCTATCTTCGTCCTCCTCCTCTTCATCCTGCGTATCCCTATCCCCTTCCTCAGACTCTTCCTCCATGCCAGCACCACTATACATGTCACCGCCACCGCCCCTTTCGCTCCCTCCCTCTTCCTCCCACTCCTCTACCTGCTCCGCCTCATCAACACTCTCACTCCTCATGCTCTCTCCCCTCTGCATTTCCTCCTCACTCCTCCCCTCCTCATCCTCGTCACTCCTTTCTTCATCACTCCTCTCCTCCTCGCTCCTCTCCTCCTCCTCACTCCTCTCCTCCTCATCCCTCTCCTCCTCACTCCTCTCCTCACTCCTCCCAACAAAGCTCCCTTCACTCCCCCCCTCATCCCACCCCATATCCACACCATCAGCACCCACCTCTATATGCTCACCACTTTGCTCACCACTTTGCTCACCACTTTGCTCACCACTTTGCTCACCACTTTGCTCACCACTATGCTCATCCAATTCACGATCATCCTCCTGCTGCTCGAACGAACCCACGTCGTGTCTACCATCGCTCATCACATCCGACTCCCCATCCTCTTCTTGGTTCAAACCCACGGCCCTCCCATCATCCCCTTCAAGATACCTCCCCTCCTCTCCTCCTCCTTGTCCGCCCCAGGACTCACCTCCCCATTGCCTGTCCCCCTCCTCTTCCTCATCTTCCTCTTCCTCCTCTTCTTTCTCGTCCTCCTCTTCCTCCTCCTGACTCTCCTGTCCCTCCCACCCGCCCTGCTGCTCCCACGGCCTTGAAAACCCCTCTCCATGGCCATGCCTTCGTCCTTCTTCCTCATCATCTTCCTCTTCCTCCTCGCCCTCATCCTGCGACTGTCCCTCTAGCCCATCCTCCCACTCTGCACCCGAGCCTCTCTCCCCGCCCCACTCATCACGCCTCTCAGCCAACTCGCCCTGTGAATCTCCTTCCTCTCGCTCCTCTCCCTCCTCTCGCTCCTCCCCTTCTGACTCTCCCTCTTCTGACCTCCCTTCATCTGATGCCTCCTCTTCTGATCCTTGCCCCTCCTCCGACTCCCCTTCTTCTGACCTGTCTTCCTCTGATCCCCTCTCTTCTTCTGACCTTCTCTCTCCAGATTCTCCTCTCCATCGTTCATCTGATGGTTGCTGCACCCCACTTAACTCCTCTGCTCCCTCCTCACCATACATATCCCCTTCCTCCCCACCAGAATTATCACTCTCACCCTCACCATACATTTCACTTCTCTCCCCACCATGCATATCTCTTTCCTCCCAATCAGAATTATCACTTTCACCACCCTCATCATACATATCCCCTTCCTCCCCACCAGAATTACCACCCTCACCCTCACCATACATATCGCCTATCCTCTCTTCACTCATGTTACTGCCACCACGCTCCAAGCCCTCACTCCCCGCACCCCCTTCACCCCCTTCACCCCCTTCACCCCCTTCACCCCCTTCACCCCCCTCACTCCCCTCACTCTTTTCACCCTCGCTTTCCTTGCTCCTTCCACTCCCCTCGCTTCCCTCGCTTGCCCCCATACTAGCATACCCATTGGGCATCTTCCCAAGGAGAAACGCAGGCTCGGCAGCGGCAGGCTCGGCAAGAGCAAGTTTGGCAGGGGCAGGCTGGGCGGAGGCGGTGTGGGAAACGGGATCAGGGCATGTGACAGATAGCGATGATGCTTCTGAAGGAATGGCAGGGGCTGCATGGTGTGGTGGAGCCGTTTGCAGCGTCTCAAGAGCCTTGCTGTGCTCTAGTGGCAAGGGGCCATTCCCAGTTGAGAGGGTGCCTGTATCCTCCTTAGAAGGCAGCTCTTGCACTGCTGAAAGTCCACCTTTCCTGACATCAGGTGCCGTAACACCCGCAGGTGCAGTAACATCAGGTGCTTTCTCAGGTGATACTTGAGGAGGAGGAGCTGCAGCCTGCAGTGCTGAGACGTCAACAGAGGGTTTGCGCACATGAGTGGCGAGCAGGCTTGCCACTGCACCTCCCATCCATGACACCCACCCACTCTTCTGCACACTCTCCTGCTGCTGCTGCTGCTGCTGCTGCTGCTGCACCTGTTGCTGCTTGTTCTTCCCATCTGCTGCTACTTCTAGCACCGAAGGCTCTACCTTCGCCACCCCTGCTGCTGCTCCTCCCACTTTTGCAGTTGCTGCTGCTTCTGGTGGTGCTGCTGCTGCCGCTGCTCCTGCTCCTTCTGCTGGCGCTGCTCCTGCTGGCACAGTTACGGCTGCTGATGGTACTGACTCCTGCCCTCCTGCTGCTGCCTGTGCTGCCAACGCTGGTGCTGCTGCAACTGCTGCTGCTGCTGCTGCTGCTATTGCCATCCCACTAGACCCCTCGAACTTGCTGCCTGGCGGCAGGGACTGCTGAGACTGCACCAACGCATTCCCAGGAGGAACAACGGTGGTGGTGGTGACATCTGCCCCACCAGTGACATCCAACCGTTCCGTGTCGATACCAGCCACATTTGCCATGGCATGACTCTCCAAACCGGTGGTGGTGACATTTGCCACGGCCACCTCCCCTCCTGAAACACCATTCTCACCTGAAACTCCAAAATCACCTGACACCTCGCGTGGCGGCTCACCTGGCAAATCACCTGCCATTTTACCCGCCACGTCAGCCTCTGCCACGTCATCAGCATCCTCGTCAGACCCTGCTACTCCATTCCCTTCTCCCACATCCGAGGCTCGGTCCGAGCCATCCTCCGAGCCTCCTTGTGGTTCGTTCCACAAGACTGGACCATTCTCCAAGCCTCGGCCCTCACCCTCTTTCTCCCACTCATCTTCCTCACTCTCTTTCTCACTCTCCTCATCACTCCCCACGCCATGCCCTCTCTCAACTGCATTTCTCCCCTCCTCTTCCCGTACCTCCCCTCCTTCACTCCCTTCAAGGCTCGCCTCAGTCCCACCAAGGGTGCCCTTACCAATGGAACCCAGTACCCCAAACTTCATATCCACACCACCATCTGAATGCACACCCATGCCGACTGAACTCACACTTTTGCCATCTGCACCCCTACCCATGCCATGCGCAACCATACCCATGCCATGCGCACCCATACCCATGCCATCCGCACCCATACCCATGCCACCGGATTCCATTCCATTCTGCATGCCCCACGTACCCTCCAGTCCTCTCTCTCCAACCTCTCCCTCACCGCTCTCCACCCATCCTCCTGCGCTCTCACCTTCTCCCATCTCACTCCCTCCTCCCATCTCTTCCTCTCCACTCTCCTCGTCCTCCTCATCTCCTTCCTCCTCCTCATCCTCATCTTCCTCCACCATCGTAGCTGCTACCACCTCACCGCAATCACTCCCACTCGACCCACCCTCTTCCCCATCCACACCACCGCTCTCTTCTGCCCAGCGGCCCTCCTCAGTCATCTCTCCCTCACTCTCTTCCTCTCTCCTCTCCCCTTCACTCCTCTCTTCCTCACTCCTCTCTTCTGCACTCCTCTCTTCCTCACTCTCTCCCTCACTCCCTTCTCTCTCAATCTCTCCCTCTCTTTCCCCCTCACTGCCCTCTTCTTCACTCTCTCCCTGAATCCTCTCTCCCTCACTCTCCTCTCTCTCAAGCTCTCCCTCACTCCCCTCCTCACTCCTCTCTTCCTCACTCTCTCCCTCAATCCTCTCTCCCTCAATCTCTCCTTCGCTCTCCTCATTCCTCTCTCCCTCACTCCTCTCTCCCTCACTCCTCTCTCCCCCAAACTCTCCCTCACTCTCATCCTCACTCCTCTCTCCCTCACTCGCACTCCCCTCCTCTCCTTCACCCCTCTCCATGTGCTCTCCTCTGTACTCCCCAGTCCCTTCAAACTCACCCGTTTCATCTCCTAGCTGACTCGTTTCATCTTCTGACTGACTCGTTTCATCTCCAAATTGCTCCACGGACTCTCCTGACTGCTCCATTGCAATTCGCATGTTGCCAGCTTCACCCTTATCATGCCCCATTTCATCTCCAAACTCCCTCGTTTCATCCTCATACTCCCTCGTTTCATCCTCAAACTCCCTCGTTTCATCCTCAAACTCCCTCGTTCCATCCTCAAACTCCCTCGTTTCATCCTCAGATCCCCTCGTTTCATCCTCAAACTCTCTCGTTTCATCCCCAGGCTCCCTCGTTTCATCCTCAAACTCCCTCGTTTCATCCTCAAACTCCCTCGTTTCATCCTCAGATCCCCTCGTTTCATCCTCAAACTCTCTCGTTTCATCCCCAGGCTCCCTCGTTTCATCCTCAAACTCCCTCGTTCCATCCTCAAACTCCCTCGCTTCATCCTCGGATCCCCTCGTTTCATCCTCAGGCTCTCTCGTATTATCTTCAAACTCCCTCGTTCCATCCCGAAACTCGCCTGTTCCATCCTCAATCTCCTTTGTTTCATCTCCAAACTCCCTCGTTTCATCTTCAGAACCATCCATGTCATCTCCTGAATCACGACCATCATCCCCAAGCCCTCTCTCTGCTTCTTCTCCTCCCGACTGCCACCCAACATCCCCCGGGGTTAAAACCTCCCCTGAAGCTGCCACGCCTGAATACCCTGAATAGGGGCCAGACCTCCCATCCTGCATCTGGCCCACCTGGTGCATAAAACCACCTGAAATTTCACCTGAGATTTCAGGCACTTCCCCCGAATGACCCATCCCATCATAACCATCACTCTCAGAGTCTACTGATCCCCCCATGTCCATGCCCATGCCCGTGTCACCTCCTGATTGGTCCATCCCATGCTGTGCATGCCCCATTTCATCTCCCAAGAACCCTGCAGCAGTGCCATCCCCATACGTATCCTCTTCCCCATCCATGCTCTCTCCTCTTGATCTCATATCTTCCGATCCCCCCTCTTCCGATCCCCCCTCTTCCGATCCCCCCTCTTCCGATCCCTCCTCTTCCGGTCCCCCATCTTCTGACCCCTCCTCCTCTGACTCCCCCTCTCCAGATTCCCCCTCAGCCTCAGCCTGGCCCCATGCACCTGAATCTCCTCCTATGTGTGAACCACCCACCTCTCCACCCATCATCTCTCCACTCATCTCCATTTCTCCACTCCTTTCCATCTCTCTACTCCTCTCCCACTCTCCACTCCTCTCCATCCCTCCTTCCCCTCCATCACTCTCCTGTGCGTACCTTTGCCCTGCTACATCCTCTTCCTCCTCTTCCTCCTCTTCCTCTTCCTCTTCCTCTTCCTCATCCTCATCTTCTTCTCTTGATAAACCCCCTTCACTGCGCCCATCCTCCCCCTCACTGCGCCCATCCTCCCCCTCACTGCGCCCATCCTCCCCATCCACCCCATCCCCATACATCTCCTGCTCTCCATCCTTCCGCCCATCATTCACCTCACCACTCTCCCCATCCTCATACATATCTCCTCCACCATCCCTATCGAAACTACCAACCATTCCCTCCATTTCTTCCATCCCACGCACCCCATGCATCTCCTCACTCTCACTCACGCTCCCCTCCCCATCGTCACTCTCGTGCAATGATGACCCATCCCTATGCATCCCATCCCCATGCATCTCATCCTCATGCATCTCATCCTCATGCATCCCATCCCCATACATGTCTCCTTCTCGAACCCCCTCTGCTTCTCTCAACATCTCTGCCCCTCCATGGCTGTCGTCCTCTCTCTCACTCCCACTCTCACTCCCACTCTCATTCTCACTCTCACTCCCATTCTCTTTCTCACTCTCTCTCCCACTCACACTTCCACTCTCACCCTCTGACATCCCACGTTTCCCATCCCTTCCCTCCTCACCTCCCACCTCTGCATGCATGCCTTCTCCATCCCTCCTCCCCTCTCTACCCTCCTCAGTTCCCTCCTCACGCCCCCCCTCACTCCCCTCCTCACTTTCCTCCTCACTCTCACCTTGCCTCCCATCCTCACTCTCCCTATCACCTTCCTCCTCTACCTCACTCTCTCCCCCACTTTCCTCCCGCTCCACACTCAAATCTCTCTCCTCCTCATCCACCTCATCCCTTTCCTCCTCACTCTCCCCCTCTCCTTCCCCTCTAGAGTACTCTTCGTTACTCCCATCCCACCTTGCAGCTGCAATCGCTGATCCAACTGGTGTTCTCACAAACGGACCAGCAGCCAGCACCACTGGTACTTCGTCCTCCTCTTCCTCCTCTTCTTCCTCCTCACTCCTCTCCCCTTCCTCATCCTCACTCCTCTGCTCTTCCCTCCTCTCATACTCCTCTTCTTCCTCACTCTCAACCCCATCCCTCTCATAGTCTGAGCCTTCCATGTGCTGACTTCCTCTCTCACTCCCCCCTCCTCCCATCTCTCTTCCTCCTCGCTGTCACTATGTCGCATTTCCTCTTCCTCACTGCCACTATGCCCCATTTCCTCCTCCCCATCGCTATGCCCCATTTCCTCCTCCCCATCGCTATGCCCCATTTCCTCCTCCCCATCGCTATGCCCCATTTCCTCCTCCCCATCGCTATGCCCCATTTCCCCCTCCCCATCGCTATGCCCCATTTCCCCCTCCCCATCGCTATGCCCCATCATCGCCTCATCACCCTGCTCCCTCCTCTCCTGCCAATCCTCTTCCCTCTCGTCACCATGCTTCTCACTCCTTTCCTCCTCACTCCTCCCCTCACTCCCATCTCCGCTTCTCTCATCGCTCCCCTCTATGCTCCTCTCCTCACTTCCATCCTCACTCCTCTCCTCATTCCCCTCCTCACTCCCCCCTCGATCCTCTCTTCATTCCCCGTCTCACTTCCCTCCTCACTCTCTTCCTCATTTCGCTCCTCACTTCCTTCCTCCCTCCCTTCCTCACTCCCCTCTCCTTGATCCCCCTCCAGCCCATCACTCCTTCCACTCAAAGCACGATCAAACCTCCCACTCTCATCCCTCCACTCTCCCGTACCCCCATCAACACCTTCCCCCTCCCACACTCTCGACTCCTCCCTCTCTTGCTCATAGTCCTCTTCGCTACCCTCACTCTCCTCTCCTCCCTCACTCCCCTCACTCCCGTCACTCCTCTCTTTCCCCTCATTCCCATCCCACCTCCTCCCTCTCTCCAGCTCTTCTGATCTCCCATCATCCCCTGATTCCAGATTTTCCTCCTCGTCTGTATCCTCCTCTTGCTCTTGCTGCTGCTCCTCCCTTTCCACTGTCCATGCTGCATCTACATCCGCTTCTCCCCCTCCTTCTGATCTTTCATCCTCTGATTTCCCCTCTTCTGATCTCTCATCCTCTGATTTCCCCTCTTCTGACCTCTCCTCGTCTGATCTTTCGCCTTCTGCTCTCTCCTCTTCTGACCTCTCATCCTCTGATCTTTCTTCTTCTAATTGTTCACCTTTTGCTCTCTCCTCTTCTGATCTCTCATCTTCTGCTCTCTCATCTTCTGATCTCTCCTCTTCTGATCTCTCATCTTCTGATCTCTCTTCGTCCGATCTTTCATCCTCTTCATCTCTCTCCCCTGCTTCCAACCCCTCTCCTCCCTCCACCCTCTCCTCCTCCGCCATTCCCTCTGATCCTTCAGCTTCACTCATTCTATCCGAATCCCCATCCCCAACCCCGTCCTCTGACAGTCCGTCCTCTGACCCTTCAGCTCTAGAGCCTCTCTCAGAACCTTCTTTCTCTGAAGCTTCATCCCCTGACTGTTGAGCTCTCCCACACGCGCGAATCCTCCCCCCCTTGCTCCCACACGCGTGAATCCTCGCCCCCTTGCTCCCACACACGCGAATCCTCCCTCTCTGCACCCCCCACCCTTGAACCATACTCCTCCTCAGAACTCCCACTCTCTGATCCACTCCTCTCCCCAACCTCACTGCCTCCTCCTCTCTCCTCCTCTTCTCCTCCCCCCTCCACCTCCTCTTCCCCTCCCGAAGACTCACTTCCGCTTCTGCTATTCTCCTCCTCTTCCTCCTCATTCCTCTCCTCCTCACTCCTTGCATCCTCACTGCCCTCTCTCACACTCCCTCCCACACTCTCCTGATCGCTCTCCTCCTCACTCCCTCTCTCACTCTCACTCTCACTTCCTCTCTCCAACCCATCTCTGTCATCACCCTCATCACGTCTCCCTCTACTCTCACTCCCCCCCTCGCTTCTCTGCCCATCTTCCATTGCATACACAGCCTCATCCTCTCTTTCCTCCTCACTTCCCTCCTCACTCCCCTCCTCCTCACTCTCCCCAATTCCCTTCTCACTTCCTTCAACACTCCCCGACTCACTTTCCCCCCCACTCCTCTGCTCACTCCCCGTCTCACTTCCACCCTCACTTCTCCCTTCCACATCCATCTCATTCCTATCACCAGGCTCACTCTCTTCCTCTCCCCATTGTTGCCTCTGTTCTCTAACTGCATCCTCCTCCTCCCAGTCCCTCTCACTCCCGCTCGCACTCTCTCCCTCACTCCCCATCTCACTACTCTCTTTCCTGCCCTCCTCACCATCCACCTCCCTCACGCTCCCCTCCTCACTACCCTCGCATCCCAACTCCCCATCACTTTCCACCACTGCTGCTGCCCTCACCACATCACCATCACTATCACCATCACTTCCCTCTACTGCTGCTGCTGCCATCACCACATCATCATCACTCTCCCCCTCACTCGCCTCCTCACTCCCCTCCACACTCCCCTTCTCACTCCCCTTCTCACTCCCCTCCTCATTCCCCTCCTCACTCCCCTCCTCACTCCCCTGCTCGTTCCAATTCTGCTGATGCCTCTCATAAGCCCCCTCCTCATCGACACTCCCCCCCTCCATCCCCTCACTCCCTTCCACCCTTGCAATTCCAGCTCGCTCCCTCATACCCTCCCTCTCCCCATCACCACCCACCCCCCCATCCTCTCGACTCCTGCCTTCCAGCAACCGCTCCCCCACCTCATCTCCAAATCTCTCTGCTACTTCTTCCCTCTCATCCCTCCCTCCCTGCGCCTCCCACTCTTGCCCTTCCATGTCCACTCCAGCAATTACCACTTCGTTATCCTCCATGCCCCTCCATGCCCTGACATCTTCCTTGCTCTCACTTCCCTCCACATCTCCTTCCTCTCTCTTCTCCTCCCTGCTCCCGTCTTTTCCGCCCTTCTCCCCTCCTTCGCCCTTCTCCCCTGCCTTGCCCGTCTCTGCTTCGTCCATTTCCTCTGCTTCACGCGTCTCCTCAACCCCCACAGCATCCCCTAGCTGCTCCTGACTCAACTCGGACTTTAAAATGCTCTCCAACACAGACTTGTTCTCCCGCCCCACAACCTCCTCTTGCTCCTCCTCTCTCTGCCTCGGAGTTTCCTCATCCCTCCACTCTTCGTCCCCACACTCCATCTCTCCACTTCCCATGCTCCCATCTTTACCCCTCTCAGACCCCCCATCTGCTCCTTTCACCACTGCTTCCACTGTCCCTCCTGCCACGGCTGCTGACTCTTCCTCTTCGCCTCCTCCTGTTCCTACCTCTCCTTTCCCTTCTTCTCCTACTCCTGGTGCTGCTGCTGTTGATACCGCTGTTGCCACTGCTGCTGCTGTTGCCGCCACCGCCCCCGCTGCTACTGCTCCCTCTGCATCTAACCCCATGCCCCCTCCCCCAACCCCGCTTCTCCCCCTCCCCCTTCCGCCTATCTCCCTCCCACGCCCTCTCCCCACTACCATACCCCTCCCTCTCCCCCCCAGCCTACCCAAGGCTCCCTCCCTCCCCCCTGCACCTCTCCCCCCGGGTGACACCCTCCCTGGCCCTCCTCTCCCCATGCCCCTCCCAAACCCCCCCTCCCGCCCACGTCCTCCCAATCCCCCTCGGCCTCTCCCCCGCCCTCTCCCCCCCTCAATACCTCCCGCTCCCCCTTCCCCTGCCGCTTCTCCTTGCTCTTGATCCTGCTCCGCGCTTCCCTCTTCCCCTTCCCCGCCCCGTCCTTCCCCCACCTCCCCCGCCTGTCCTCCCCTCCCCCGTCCCCGCCCAGGGCCCTGCCCCCACCCTCCGCCTCCCCCTTCCCACACTCCCCCCCCTGCCCCTCCCCGCAACCGTCCTTCCCCCAATCCTCCCCCCTCTTCCATCCCCACTCGTTCCCCTTACAATCCCCCCTCGCCCCCTCCCGCCCATATCCATCCCTACTTGTCCCTCCCCCCTTCCCCTTGCGATGCCTCTCCCCCTCCCCCTCCCCCTCCCCCGCCCGCGCCCCCCTGGTGTTTCCACAGCCCCTTCCCCCTCCCCCTCTCCCCTGCTTGACCCGGGACTCTCCCCTTCTTCCCCACCATTCGCCTCTGTGCCCTGTGAGCCATCTCTCTCCGCTGCTGCTTCTCCCTCCGCCCTCCCCTCTGCTTCTTCTGCCGCTGCTGCTGCTTTAACCACTGCTTCAATCGCTGCTACTGCTCCTTCTGATCCTTCTGCTGCTGCTCCTCCTGCTGCTATAGCTGCAGCAGCAGCACCAGATCCCTCTAAACTCCCTCTCGCCCCACTCAACCTTCTCTCAACACTCATCGCTTCCCCTACCTTCTCCCCCACACCCCCATCACCTGCCCCTTCCCCCAACCGCCCCTCATCCCCATTCTCTCCCCCCACCTGCCCTTGTAAACTCCCCACTGCCGGTTCCCCGCTGTAAGCCCCCGCGCCTGCAGGAGTCTCAGCAGCACGGGTAACAGAGGCACGTGTTACGGACGTTTCTGGTTCTTGAGACGGGTGAGAAAGCAGTTGTTGTGATGGTGTGGCAGTGGCAGGAGAGAGAGAGGAGGAGGGCAACTGAGAGGCCACAGGAACAGATTCGTCATCAGACGAGGAATCAGAAGACGGCTTTTGAGGCGCCTCAAAAGGCAATTGAGAGGCCACAGGAACAGAATCGTCATCAGATGAGGCATCGATTCTGTGAGGCGGTGAGGGAGATGAGGGCTTTTGAGGAGGCTCGAGAGTCAGCTGAGATGCCACGGGAACAGATTCGTTGTCAGATGAGGCATCAGAGGACGCAGAGGCAGCAGACAGAGGGGAGCGAGAGGGAGAGCGAGAGGGTGAGCGCGAGGGAGAGCGAGAATGAGAGTGAGAGGAAGCGTGAGAGTGCGAGGAAGCGTGAGAGTGAGAGGAAGAGCGAGAGATGGCCTTAAGAATCTCTTGCTGCGACTGGTCGTATTGCCCCTGGTCCAACTGCCACTCCCCTTCGTTGCTCTTGTCCCATCCCTTCTCCTCCCATCCCTCCTCTTCCTCCTCTTCCTCCCCCTCTTCTTGCTCTTCTCTGTCCCCCGTCTCCATCCCATCACCATACTCCTGGCTCTCGCCAACCACTGCTGATGCCACCACTACATCATCATCTGAATCTCCCTCTGACCCCA